GGGCCCTTTTCCTCCTCCTGCGTTTTGTCTCTGCGGGTGATGATAGGCTGTCTGAAAAGCTGTCACTCTCATTTTTGTAGTTTTCATCCAATTCTGAGGAAGATTTTTGGTAATGAGTGTTTCTTAGTGTTGAAGGAAATTCATGAGATGCTTGAGCCACTTTATTATTACCCTCCAAATGCCGTGTTTTGTATTTTTGTTTCCCTCCAGGTTTTTCATTTTTCCCCTGCTCCGGCCCTACAGCTGAAGTCATTGACCTGTTACTAGACAGGCTCCTTGATGTGTGCCTGTCATTGTAGTCACATTTTCTTTTGCTGGGATTATTTTTCTCCCTCGTATTTTTTCTTAAAGAGCAGGACCGAATTCCAGATTCTGGACTCGAAGATAGGCTGGAATAATGAGCACCGGAGTGAATCCTCCTCCTGTGAGATGATTCGTAGTCATCCCTGCCCCACGTATATCTGCTCCCATCATCATTTCTCAAATGATAACGGTCTCCACTTCTGCTCCGTGACCTTCTTTTACCGTGATCACTCCTGTGAGCTCGTGATCTGCTTGTGCTTTCACGACTTAGAGTTTGGCTGCTGCTAGACAAACTGCTATCTTTAGTTCTGGATCTCTTTTTGTCTCTTCTTCCACTAGGGCTACTTTCCCTACTTCTGGGTCTTTTGCTTTTCATTCTTTTCTTCCCAGGATGCTTTCTAGGATTGTTATTATACTCACTTCTATTCTGGGAACTTGAATCTGAACTTCTTGATCTTGTCCTTTTTCCGTATCTGTGGCTGTATGGAGAATATACTCTGTCTCCGCTCAAAGAGGACCTCAAGACTATAGGCGATGACGAGGTAGATGGCTCCTCTTCCTCCTTTGATGAATCAGGATGACCTTCATTTATTTGCTCATTGTCTCTAAGGAGGGAGAGAGCAGATGAACATCTACTAAGATCACTATCACCAGAACTGGAAGGCTGGTTTTGCTCTTGTGGCTCCATTTCCTCCTGAGTACTTAACTCCTCAGATTCGGAAGACAGTTCAATAAATTCTGGGGTCTTCTCAGCTGGTGGTTTAACAAACCCAACAATGACACAAGAATCTGAAGAAGAATCACTGTCGTTATTTAAGTCCTCATCGGCTTGTACTCCTTGTATCTGAGACAGGGCTCCCCCTGCGACCAGTTCTTCGTCTGAACTGCCGGAATCATTTAAAAGGGAAGACACAGCAACATGTGCCTGCTCTGAGCTTGTGTAAGATGGTCCCGGTGTTTCATCATCCCATGGTGCCTGACTGACAGTGGCTACATCAATATCTGGCTCTTGGGTCTCAGACCCATCTGGAGATGTTGTTACGACTGAAGAATCAGAATGGTTGCTCTCTTCATTTGAAGGCGCAGTGTAATCATAATTAGCGTGTTGGTCAAAGTCTGCCATGTGAAAAGGAGATCGAGCAAAACTGATAAGTTCATGTACAAAATGCTCAGTTAGATTAAGAAAAAATGGTCTTAAATCAGACACAAATGCCTGGCTCTCCAAATCATAGCGAGTAACATTGGTCATGATGATGAGCTGGACGATATCCACTGAAGGGTCACGAGCTCCTAAAAGAACTATAAGTTCCCGTCTAATCCAGGGGGATAACCTGCTCAGGGAAGCTGGATTTCTACTGAAAAATTCAGCTGAAACATCCCTATAGGGGCCACCATCTCCCACACTTTGAACTCGAGCACCAGCACGATAGAGAGCTCGTCTAAAATTAATACTGTCTCGTTCTTCAACTGACAGTGAAGCCATTTCACGGGCAGTAGTTGGCCTCGCTATTACAAACTCACTCAGTAACTCAGGAATTGCAACATCTCTACCTCTTGTTGAAGCGCCTAACACTTCAAACAGAACTCCAGTATCTGGTGGAGTTGTTCTTCTGTTCGCAGTACCACTAGGTACAGAAACATTTGGTTCCCTTCTCACAGTTGTAGGGGAGCGACGTCCTCGAACAGCAGAACCATCATGTGAAGCCCTTAGGACGTACTCCTCGAAGTCAGCATCTCCCCTCACAGAATGAAAAATAGAATCAAACGGCTGCTTACACAGTGGACACTCAGTCTTCTCTTTTGACCACTCCCGTATACAGTGAAAACAGAACTTATGTAAGCATCTATTTGGGTAAGACACATTATGAAATCTATCCAAGCATATAGGACACCTAGGCTCAGGAGATGCATCAGCTGCTACTGTTTGCTGGGATGTGCTAGTGCCAGCTCTAGGTGAAGAGTGGTCCATTTTAAATTCCTTAGTGGCTTATCTCAGAAGTTGCCAATGCTGGGGGCTCCTGGCAAGCTCTGGACAATCCAAAAAGTTAAGTCATCATAGACAGGATCCGCCAAGGAGTACCCGGCGACTTCTGCGCATACCTGGGGATTTCTCCGCGTACCTGGCGACTTCTCTGTCTACCCTCAGAAGCGGGAGCAGGTGGGGGCTCTTCACCCTCCTCCCAAGAGGGCAAAGATCCCAGCAGCTGCTTCGACACCCAAGCAGGTACGATTTTTCTGTTTTTTGCGTTGCCTCTCCACGAAATCTAGGTTAAAACCCTCAAATAATACATGAAATGTATAGACAAAGAACGTCAGCCTAAAGCTACCTGTTGCCAGCCTCTACTAGTCAGGCATCAACTACGAGCGCAGCAAACATTCTAGAACTTTAATATTTCACAATTGCTGCCACTCAAAGCACAGAATTGATTGGCTGGTAGGTTATGGTGGGTAACGCGTGCCATGTATTTGTTCTTAGAAGCATTACTTAAATTACCAAGCTATTGCCTTCTCTAGGAGCATAGGTTTCTTGAAGAATGACTTAATTAACAAGGATTCCCACCATCCTCTGTCACTGTTATATAAAATAGTGGGTGATATTCTTGTTTATGCCAAAGATGAACATACAAATGTCTAGCTATGCTATGTGCAAACAAATGAAGGGGGACAAACGGTAATTCTTTAGGCGTTAGATGCAGGTATAATGTTTAAACCATGGATTACTTTTCAAGTAAGTTTTTAAATGTGCACGACAGCACATAATCCTGCATTAATACTGCACTGCAACTAGAAAGAAAACCAGTGGAGGAGGCACGCCTATCTCTAGGCGGCCCCTTGGCAATTCTTGTGGCCTAGCAAATCAGCTTATAAGCTGATCATGGTATCCGTGAAGGTCTAGGGTTCCTTCACACAGTAACTTCATGGTTGTAAATATAGAGAACTTTGAATCATATTCTTTGTCTTAGTTTGTTTGAGCTATTATAAAAAATACCATAAATTGAATAGCTTATAAACAACAGAAATTTATTTCTGACAGTTTTGAAGGCTGGGAAGTCCAAGATCAAGTCACTGGAACATTTGGTATTTGGTGAAGACTCACTTCCTGGTTCAAAGCAGGTACCTTCTTACCATGTCCTCATATGGCAGAAAGGAAGAGCTAGCACTCTGAGGTCTCTTTTATAAGGACACTAATCCCAATCATGAAGGCTTTACCCTCCCAAAGGTCTGATCTCCTAAAACCATTACCTTGGGGGTTAGGATTGCAACCTATGAATTTGGCAGGGACAAACTTTCAGACTATAACAGTCTCTAAAACTTGGAAAATAATTAGTAGCTTGTAATTCATGGAGACAACAGATATCAGAAATGACATAAAATTACTGTCATGCACATGCTACTATAATTAAGTGCATACTATGTGCTAAGTGTTATAGTGGTTTTTATCTATCATCTCACTGATCCCTTAGATCAATGCAATAAAAGTTAGCATCATTAAATTCATTTTTTTCATATGATTGATATACTGTTCAGGGAGATTATAGAATTTGTCTTGAGATACCATGAATTGACTTAGGTTAGAAAAGATCATTCTGGGGGTAATTGGGGGACAAGAAGAACATCAGTGAGGCCAATTAGAAGACTACAGCAACAGTCTAGATTAGGAATTATGATGGTTTTTTGAACAAGGTGCAAACAGTGAAGATGGTAAGAAATTGTTCAATCCTGAATAAATTTTGAAGGTTGAACTAGCAGGAATTCCTGACAGAATAGATCTGGATAAGGAGGGAAAGTAAAGAGTTTTAAGAGTGACTCTAAGTTTGTGGCCTGAGTAAATAAAAGGATAAAATCACCACAACTGAGATGGGAAATTCTGTAGGGGAAGCAGATTTAGAGGGGCAGATCAAGAATTCAGTCTGGGACTTGATAAGTTTGTGATGTGTACTAAACATCCAAGTAAACATACCTACTAGACAACCTGGAAGTCAGGAGAGAAATTTTGGATGAAGATAAAAATCATTAGGGCTCTTGAGCACATAAATATTCTTAAAAACACAAGACTGTAAGAAATTACCCTGGAAGTGAGTATACACAGAAAAGAAAAAAAGAACCAAAGACAGAGCCTTGGGTCACAGCTCTTAGAAATTGGAAAGAAGAGAAGGAATCAACAAAGGAGAATGAGAAAGAGTAGCCAATGAAACAGCAGGGAAA